GTTCGCGGTCCCCCCGCCCCCCCCCCCCCCCCCAGCCTCCAAGGGCACGCGTTGTTCATGCAGAGAGAAATAAAGGATTCTGACAAAATTTTACCCATTTCTTGAATGTAGCTTTCTAGAACTTCTTCTCACAAGGTTATTCTGTTTCCTACGGTTTTTCATTTTCATCTCAAGTCTATATTGATGTCCTTTATTCAAACCTTCCCTGGAAACTGCCAATGAACTTGACAGGATGAACTTCCAGTAAATTTACTGTATCATAGATACCTGACATCTAGAAGTTGTTGACTTTTAGGAAGACAATGTTCACTTCAAAACTTCAAGTGATAGCAAATCTATAGTATTCCTTAGTAAACCGTTTCAGCAGTAAAATAGCCTGATCATTACGTTGCTCATTTTATTTTCAGTCTGGATTTGTCAAGCTTCAGACAGAACGAGTATTCTAAATGAAAAAATAATGAACATTTGGATAGAATTTAAAATTGTATAAGAGGAGTTTTTAATTACAAGGTGAAAAAGAAGTTCTAGGGTAACATTGGAAGGCTTTCTTTTAATCATCTGAAATGCTTCTGTTCCCTGAATTTGAATATTCAGATAAAACCAGATCTGAATTACCAGTGTTTTTGATTTTAGAAAATCAAATCCAGTCAGCAAGGTTTTGCAAATCAAGTAAAGGCATATAACTAAATGAAAATATAACCTCTCACTGGAATATCTCAAACTATTTTACAAAGGTTGGTATGTATTACTATCCCTATTTTACAGAGGGATAAACATAGATACAGAGTGTTCTCTCCATGGGCTCATAGTAGAATCAGGGGTACAGTCCTGGTCTTCTGGCTCCCAGTTTCTTTTTCTCCCTACTACCTTCCTTGAAACAGGATCATAGGAAAGTAGGGCTGGAAGGGACCTCCCAAGACCATCTAGTCCAGTCCCCTGAAAAAGGCAGGATCATCTTGGACTAAACCATCCCAGCCAAGTGTCTGTCTGACCTGCTCTTGGAAATCTCCAGGGCTGGAGTTTCCACAGCTTCTCTAGATAGCCTGTTCCAGGGTTTGACCTGAGTCATAAAGGTCCTCCTAATCTCCAACCTAGATTTCCTCTAGTGCATTGCTCCTAGTTCTGATCCCTAAAGTCCTGGAAAAAAAGCACATCTTTATCCTCCCTTAATAATCACCTTTCAGGTATGTGAAGGCTGTTATCAAGTTGCGCCACAGTCTTCTCTTCTCCAGACTAAATAATCCTAGCTCTTTCAGCCTTTCTTCATAGATATTGCTTCCCAGGCCTCTAATAATTTTTGTTACTCTCTAGATTCTTTCCAAACTGTCCACATCTTTTTTGAAATATGAATCCTAAAACTGGGCACAGTATTCCAGGTGAGGCCTCACCAGTGCTGAACAGAATGGAAGAATCACTTCCCGTGATTTGCAAGTGATGTTCCTGCT